TTATTTCGGAAAAAGACGATACTCTCATCTGCTCCCAGTCCAGACGTTTAGAACGATGTGTGCCCGAACGGACACTGATTGCCAACTGATTAAGTGCGGATTGCATCGCTTGGGCATTATCGCACAGTAAGACAATATCGTCCGCATACTCAAGGTCGAGAAGTCTTTCTTCAGGCAACAGATCCACACCACCATTACTTACATTCATCAGAGCTGTTTCCAAAATGTCATCGATGGCAAAGTTGAAGAGGAATGGTGAGATTAAGCAACCCTGTCTCACCCCACTGCTCGAATGGAACAATGGAGAGAGGTGGTTGTATGCCCTCACTCTGCCTGAGGTGTTTTTATATAGGGCTTTTAGGATGTTAATAAACTTCTCAGGCACACCCTTCTTCAATAGACAATCCCAGAGAACAGTCCTGTCCAACGAATCGAAGGCAGCCCTGATGTCACGAAACACTACGATTGTTGGCCTTTGATAAGTATGGCGGTGTTCTAACATTTGGCGGAGGGTGAAGATGTGATCATTACATCCTCGACCAGAACGAAAACCAGCCTGCTCCTCGCGAGTCAATCTTTCTCGGGTTTTGAACAACCTACGAAGTATGACGGAAGCCAGAGATGATAATTCAATTGGTGTCACCATCTTGAAACGCCGACTTCGGTGGCTTGGACATGTTCTCCGAATGTCTTCCCAGAGAATTCCACGTCGTGCATTATTTGCCGACTCTGGGACTGGTTGGAAGAAGCGTAGAGGTGGTCAGTGCATGACATGGTGTCGTGGTATGAAAGAAAGCTGCAAAGGACTGGCTTCTGTTGGTCCTTCACGACTCCCTGGTTGGGGTCCGAGAGATGGTGCAACACAGTGGATAGAGACGTTATCAGATATGGCCCAGAATAGAAGCCAGTGGCGATCCTGCTGTAACCTTCTTTTACTTCCTTCATAAAAAGTGGTTGTGTCTTCCTTACCTGAAAGATTTCTTCCGATTGTACCTTTCCGTTCCCTCATTACTACCACACTACCTTATACCAATCTCTTCGTTATTGTTCTCTTTTTCTTTTGCGCTCCTTAGTTTTTTTTCTATTTCTCTTCGAATTCTCATTGTTTTGTGTGGCACATATATATTGGCGCTCTCTTGTACCAATATTCATGTGTTTAAATAAATAAATGGGCGGAACATTTCAGAGAACAGTTCAACTGGCCTTCAGAGTGAATGGAACATTGAAGTAGGTCCCCCGACTCTAGCAGAAGTTCAAAAGGCTATAGTTAATCTGAAGCGAGGAAGGGTAGATGGTCCAGATGGACTGGCTCCAGAGGTCTTTAAGGATGGTGGTCCAATTTTAGCGACTAGGTTGACTAATATTTTAGCTAAGATCTGGGAGTTGGACGTTATCCCATCTAACTGGTCACAATCACAATTCGAAAAGCTCGCCTGGCTTTTGCCAACTTACGTCACCTATGGCGAAGGCGAGATATCCGTCTATCAATAAAAGGACGAGTATACTGAGCGGCTGTTCGTTCTGTTTTACTTTACGGCAGCGAAACATGGCCATTAAGAGTAGAAGACACTCGTAAGCTATTAGTATTTGACTACAGATGCCTTAGAAATATTACTGGCGTCTGCTGGGATCACCGGGTAAGTAATAGTGAGGTTAGACGCAGGGTATTAGAGAATGATGGTAAATCAGTTGACGAAGTTGTTAATCTTCATCGACTGAGATGGTTGGGCCACGTGTTACGTATGCCTGAACACCGATTACCACGACGGGCAATGCTGACTAGTGTTGGGGATGTTGGAAGAAAGAAAGGGGTGCCAAACCAAAACGTGGCATCAGTGCTTGAAGACACTAACCTCTAGTCTGAGCCATGTTGGTAGATGCAGACTACTTGGTTGGGGTCCGCGTGACTATCGTAACCGATGGTTGGAGACTCTTGGTGACATGGCTCAGAATCGATCACAATGGCGTAGGTGTATACACTCTTTGTTTTCCCTTAAACTAAGAGATTAAAATCACTTCATATCTTTCTTTTTACGAACCAATTCTTTCTTCTTGTACTATATTTCTATACGCAATCTTTCTCTTATATATTACCACCTTTGACCTAACCACTGCTATGAATCCGGTGTTCATCTTGTTGTGCTGATGCGGTATGGCAACCTGGACCGATGCACATATGTGCCTGGTCCTACGTTGTAGCTGACTGACTGTAGATGCTGCTTGATTATCCGGTGGATTCAATGGAGCTGGCCTATTCAAGAATTCTTCAAAGTGTTCTACCCTCTGTCCTTGAGTCTCAGTGATTGTCTTTCTCGTCCTTGACCGCTCTCTGGTTTACTACATTTCCCTGCCAGTTTCTCTGTTGTCATATGGTTTTCTGATGTTTCCTTCTCTTGCAGCTCTTCCCCCTCCCGTTTCTAGGTCTTCCACGTATTTCTGCTTGTCAGCTCTACTAGTCCTCTACACTTGCTCGTTTGCTTCAGAGTATTCAACTTGTGTCTTGACTTTCTCTGTTCTTGTTCGGCTGTTGTTAATTGCTGTCTTCTTGTTCTTCATTTCTTGAATCACGCTCAGGGTTTCGATTGAGACACATTCTTTGCCATGCTCGTTGCGGCTCAAAACCATCTGGCATGTTGAAGTTCGTGCGTCTTTGATCCTTTTCTAGTTTTCTCCATGGTAGCTCCCTCTTATTTGAGATCTTGTAAAACATGGAATAAATACATGTGGTAAGTTTTCGAAAAAATCGTCTTCTTCTCTGGACACTAGATAATGATAAGCTTGTTTAGATATATAAAAGCTAAATATATGATCGGATAGACAATTCAAGGCTACACACACCTAGAGATTCGACGGCTGTAACTAAATGAGATGGGCCAAAGCGACCATCACTTTTAAGAATTAATGTCATTTCGTTTTGTCATTCCACAATACCCTAGTTGTTTCCACACAAAGCAACTAATGCACATTCGAATGGGCTACATACAGAAATCTGTTGCTAAACCAACACCTACAGGATACATTTGGACAGCACGTATTTACTAAATCATCTATCAGATGTGGGAAGCTAAACAACTACTGTCGTTTAAATCAAGGTTCTAAAAATAGGTAGTTGTTTCCTAACAACTGATGTCACAGCTATTTAGTGCCTTTTGGTTTGAAAAAGGCATTTGTACCAATAAGATCTTTAGCTAAAATTGGGATTTTAATTGGAAATTTAATTAGGCAGTACGTCAAAGTTTATTAACTGCCCCCAAATGCCTTGTTACGACCGAGAGTGGGAATAGTCCTCTCTCCCTCTCCACATGGCCACGCGTATACAGCCACTGCCACGGAAGTCCTACTCACTTCCTTCTCTCGGTGGGGGTGTTTACAAAATTGAGAGGACGAAAACAGTGTTCGGCGCTTTAACCGGGTTGGTGAACATGGAGGATCCACCTAGGGGAATTGGAAAACCCTGATTTCAAACCCATGGTGCACATGGGCTCCAGGATCCTGAAGGAACAAAAGGCGTATGAACCTATTTTTGGTCACCATGAAACTGCACCTCTTAACGTTGTTCTACTGCCTTGTGGATTAGACCTCTAATCAGATGCTCGGGGACTTCCCCCCTAAAATAACAACCTGCTTCGGTTTGAGCACCGAGCAGTATCACAGCGCTCACACAAACCAATGATAACTGCTACTGGCCTCATTGTTATTGTGTAGCGCATATTTGGTACTCCCTCGTACCAATGTTGTGTTTAAATAAATAAATAAAACTTATCTCAGAGGAAACGACTTACTAGTTATTACACAATCAGTTTAAACTGGCAATCAAATAAACTATCTTTCTACTCATCAGTTTCGTTCTGCAATAAATTGTACTTCAAGCTGTTATTAAAGTTCTTATAGGTACACTTAAGGTTTACATCTTAAAATACTAAACAATGTAGTTTCTTATTCTATTGTTAAAATAGACAATTCATCACGCCTTATTCCTCACAATAAACAATGTGAAATGTATAAATATGGCGAATTTATTTACAAAACCCGTGTTAAGCAGTCACATTGCTTCCCAATTACTTGACTTAATCCGACTACTCCTATGGATCATTCTAGTCTATAAACACTCGTTAGTGGACAGCTGTAAACCTATTGGAATACTACTTAGCTATAGAAAAACTACACATTCATCGACTGGATCCTATTATACAACGTCTACAGAAATATGTATGGAATGGGCACTCACGCATTAACCAATAGGTAAAAAGAAATTGCGGGTCACGGAATGATGTTTGGTTCACTCGAAAACAATAATCCTACAAAGATAACATCGACAGAGCTAACTTAGTAGCCAATTATAGTATACGGTAAATAATTTGAAATTGCTCGATTGAACGGCGGAGTCCAATTTTAGGAATCAAGTTATTTTGAATGTTCTTGCGGTGGAGCTCCCCACTCAAATATGCTTTCTAAGAAACATCCTACTATTGTATAAAAACTTATGAAAATTTATCATTTCGGGTAACTACAAATAGTATATTTCATCACCAACAGTTACTTATTACTTCCACCCGATTTTTCTTCATGAAAACCACTATAGACAGCTCTAACCAACAGTTTTTCGGTGGTTAGTCATCTGAAAACTCAATTGACTAGAAATATACAGGTGACATAATGTGACTGAAAATCACTGCTTGAGAGAATCTCCCAAATATCCCAGTTGAAAATGCCTGAGTTTCACTTCGCACCACCCAAAATAAATGACTTTATCATAAACTGAAACTATAGGACTATTATTTGCTGAAGTACCCAGATGGACCAACTAAATGTAGCGCAGAACAACTCTGTTGAACTATCCACTCATGAGTTTTTCAGTGTTCAGTGCCCAAGTGAAGATGAGCAATAATGAATTACGTTTTCGACAACACCGATGGAAGGAGGAAGTTGTTATTTAGAATTACTTTTTATAAGTTCTTATCATCCGAATAGAAAGTAGTAAAAGTAGAGAACAAAACACAAATGGCATACAAAATATGTATTAATATAAAGGAGACAAATATCTTGGAGGAGGTCAGACTGGAAATAAAATATAGGCAAAAATAAACGGTAAAAAGGTATAAATGCAGATATATAGAATTATTAGATTTTACCTTCCCTTTGATGTGAGTTTAGTTATTTAATCCAATTTTTCGGGGTACCGTGATACAAATGTAGGAACAGAAAATTTCCGTAAACATCCTTTATAGTTCATATATCGTATTTTACCAAAAATAGGTCGTTCAGGCCAGCCTTGATCATGAACACCACATATTGCCCACATAATACCTACGTGGGAAGAGAAAAGTCTATATTATTTTTCCTTTTTTAATGTTCAGGAGTAGTTTCTTACAGTAGACAACTGACTAAACCATGTAAGTAAACGTAAAAATGGACTAGGAATTCATAATTATATGTATAAAACTAACCAACATATCCATTTGGGTCTGTCCCATCTAAACTGTAACGATCGTTTAAGTATATTGCTATTTGAATAGCCGATTCTGGACCCTCTGCGCACCACTCAAGTATCTTTTTGGCCCAGTACTGGCGCAGAAACCAATGCATCTTGCCCTTGAGCACTAATTGACGTTGTGCTGCATTCCATAGATCGTCATTAGTTTGGGCAGTTTCCATCTGAGTTTTACTGTACGCTGGATCTCGTTTATCTGTTGAGTGTGTCATAAGTGATTCACGTGCCCAGTCAAGTGCACCTACGTAATAATCAGGAAAAACGACTTGTTAACATTATTCAAATATCTGATAACGGAATACAATGACGTTTAAAATTTTAACTGTTTTTAACACTTCATATTTTATCTTCAACGACTATTAGTAATAAACGTCTAAAAATCAGTAACCAATATTTACATCCTTAGGAAATTATTTTCCTAAAACATTTGACTATTTTTTCCCTAATTAAAAATCATTTCAAATGTGATTCGCTTTATGCCGATTCACACACATTATCTGCTAACATAATTATGATGTTTGTTCATAACATCAACATTATAGGCGGCCTGCTTGAGCATCTGGGCTACCTGTCCCTGCCATCTAGATATTTCAACAAGTTATCTATTTTTGTTTGTTTTAATATATAATTATGTTTATTAATCCCATAACCTATCCTGGTGCATTTCTGAAAAGTGTGCAACCTTTCGTTGTCAGTTACAAAAAGCTCAATAAGAGACAATGTGGTTGCTGGCAATATACAATGAAAAGAATGTACATCATTCAGATGTTCATTTACTGGACTGCTAACATCTAACTAGCGATCACTCAATATTTATCGTCAGGATCGACTAAGACGAAAGAAACGGAAACTTGTTGAAATACTTTGTGCTGAGAATTCTATATTGTACCAAAAATATAATACTGAATAAAGCTAATAATAATAATAATAATAATAATAATAATAAATATTCATGAACAGAAAATTCATCAAAGACTTTCCACAAGCTGATCACTATTCAATGGACTGGTGTCAACTTATGGTTGACAGTTTCTAACTCTTAAGTAATACTTTTATATTTCAACAGTTGAATTCATGAGCCGATCTGAGCTGGATCACCATTGAAAAGTGGAGGCACTTTATAATTTACACACGATTGTTGATAATGTTTTAATAAAGTAGTCTTTGTTGTTCATTTAGTGATAGACAATGTACAAATTCGCATACATTTATTTCCTCCCAAATTACACGATATATTTGTTATTATTTATGATAAAGTTGAATTTAGTGAAAATTTTGTAAACTGAACGATTCATTACGTCACTAATTACTCCTTACTAACTATCTTTCTTGATAACGTTTTGCTACATCGTCGTTAATTATATCAAGTGTCGATATATATATATATATATATATATATATATATATATATATATATATATATAATTACACAAAAAATAACATACCTTTAATCGAATCATAGAAAGGTGTATGGAAACAAAAATTTTCAGCCAACTCTCTTCTGTTAAAGCATTCTTCAATGAAGATATCGGCCGATCGTCCAAAGTGCTTTTGAACAGCAACTACTTCAAGAACAGCACGCTGAGGAGCGATTTGACCTTAAAAAAAACCCAACAGTATACTACTCTGACGCAACAGGCTGTTATGTTAAACTACCATAATTCAAAGTATCTACAGTAGACGAAAGCCGAAATATACTAAGTAGTGAGAAATGTCCACAGCTTTAACAAAGTGAAAATAAAAAAGCATTCAGATGAAAATTGTACAGGAAAAGCTTTTGGTTGAATTTCATGCACATTTTCCAATATAAATGGACAGTATGATTAATTAAGCTCACTAACCAAAATGCAACCAGGGTGACAATCCGCTAAGAGCTGGATGAGCAGGGTTATTTCTATGAGGATCGAATTTTTTTAAACGTTTGCCGATAAATTCATATAGAACTTCTAAACCAGCTCGACTTCCAGGTACAGCCCAGTCCACAGGTTTCACACTTTTGTCACCAACATAATTAGATAAAATTAAATCCCAATTAACAGGCTAAAAAAGTTCAAATAGAAAAACAGTTACTAGACATTAACCCAGTAAAATTGTAGAAACCAACAGTGGTACTTATTGTTAATTTGGAAACTAGTTAGAATTTAATCACATACAGATAAGCTTTTTAAGCAAGTCCCTAGGCCATCGAGCACAGAGTCTTGGTGTGGCCAAAGTCACAGACAAGCTATTAGGCTTGTAAGACTTCATCTTTTTCTAGAAACAAATTAATACAATTGGTGAAAAAACCGAAATCGAAACAACCTATTAAAAGGAAAAAAGGAGGCAACAAAAATGACACATACCGAGCAGTGACTAGAGGACACAACAAATAAGTCAATGAAGCTTGGTCGCGTTTGGAAAAAATGTACAAGCTTGGATGGTGAATGGAAAAAAAACAGTCGCACCAAGGTCAGATGAGGTTAAAGTAGTTGGTGTTCAATAGTGTCATTGATGGGTTTATTTATCGATTACACCTAATATGTTACCAAGTCTTCAGATATCCAAAGCGTGAGCCATGTTGGTTTATCACACAGGTTAGGTGGATAATTATATTCAATTCTTGTACGTGAATTTCGAAGGCATTATATCAGTCAACACAACATAAGATCAGGCACACATATGCATCAGTCCAAGTTACCATACCTCATTAGCACAAGAAGATGAACACCAAATTCATAGAAGCGGTCACTTCAATGGTAGTAATATACAGAAAACGATTGCATATAACGATATGATACAGGGAGAAGAAATTTGTTCATAGAAATAAAGGTAGTTTTAATCTCACAGTTTAAGAGAAGATAAAGAGTATATACACCTACGTCACTATGTCACCCAGAGTCTCCAATAATTGGTTACGACAGTTGAGCGAACCCTAACCAAGTAGTCTGCATCTACCAACATGGTTCAGATCAGACGTTAGTGACATTGTGGACGACGACACGTTTTAGTTTGGTCACCCCTAATTTCCTTCCATCCGTCCCCAACACTAATCATCATTGCGCGCCGTGGTAATTGGTGGTTGAACATGAATAATACATGGCCCAACCATCTCAGTCGATGTAGATTCACTATCTTAACAACTGATTTACCATCATTCCGTAATACCTTACGTCTAACCTCACTATTACTTGCCCAGTAATGCCAGCAATATTTCTAAAACATCTGTGATTAAATATTAGTAACTTACGAGTATCTTCTACCTTTAGTAACCACGTTTTGCAGCTATAAGGTAAAACAGAACGAAAAAGGTATGATATATTCATTGCACATATTTTAGACTGACTTCTTTGTCTCTTTTTCCGCTTTTTGGATATCAGCTGCTTACTCTTCAAGCATCACTGTGAGGGATGAAAATTACTAGAGGAGAGAGAAATGCCATTTTAGGATAGACCTCCCTAACTTAATTTCGTTTAAGAGAAGGTAATTTCTGGAGATGCGATCATCCTACAGGAATACCTCAATGTTGATACAATCCAGTACAGTCGGCAGTCTGGCGTCATCCTCATGACTCGAATTTATTGTCTTTAGCTTTACTGTTTTGTAATTGATCTGCTTGGCGTTAGGGAACCTTTAAGAACAGTTTCCATAGGACAGGCAAGACCGATCATCGCATTGAAAAAAAATTGGCCACAGATGAAAATTCAAAAACAAAACTGGTGAGAAAACCTTAGAAGTAATTGTCTTCAGTAGCATCTAAAAATAAAGAAAAAGTCTACTGAAAGTACAGAAAAACAAAGTCTTATTACGAGAACTGAAAGTAGTGTGATGGGCAGATCATTTAATAAATTGAAATAGAAGTTAAAGCAAGCATACCGGAGGAAGGACAGTAGTTTCACTTGAACAAGTATGTTTAATAATAGGTGGGAAATCTGTTAGAAACTTCGGAGATTGTTCAAATAGTTTTGATCTGATAGTTCGAGCAGAATACTCTCGTTTTTCTGATCCACACCAAACTGGAACAATATTATGGGCATCAACCTGGTTAAAAATAATTAACAATTAATCTATAAGCCAGGACTCTGAAGCTAGTGAAATACAAATGTTTAGCAGAAAGTCGGATGCTACCATTTTTTATAAACGATACTTTAGAAAAAGCTCAGCTAATGCTACGTATACAGTCACATTAAACAAAAGGCAATAGAGTAACAATCGTGAAAACCTACTACGTTGCACAGGAAAGGAAATTCGTAGCTAAATTTTCACTTATCGAATCAACGCCAAACGCCTGTAATGAAACTTTTATTATATACACCCTATGAATAATGGAACTTCCATCACCTCAAAAACAAAAGGATAAAACAGTAAGACCAATAAACAAAACATTTGTAACTCGTTACACCACGTTTCCTATTCAATAAATAATACTGTTTTACTACACAAGACATACTATAAGAGTCAGTACGTTTAAAGCATCAGACTTTTCTGTATCTTAATAAGTGCCATCTGTAACTTGATAAACGTGATTACGCTGTCGTCTATAAACCCTTCAACACCAAGGTACGCAAAGATGGAAAGAGTTCACTCTAACTCAAAATGTTCTCACAAAACCACATGTTTATAACCTCTATAAGAATAGTCCTATTCACCTTCTTAACGTAAGGGTACGATTACAAAAAGTGAAAAGGCGGATGTCTAGCGTTTAGACCTAAATTGGTAGTTATAAACAATCCATTGGGGAACCGAACAACATTGAAAAAATATTAGTGAACATGGGCTCCAGGATCTTAAAGTAACAAGTGACATATGAACTGATTTTAATCATACGCTACCATAGGACTGCATTTCTTGACATTGCTCTAGTACTTTGTGGATTAGACCCTTAGATCGAAGGTTAGGGAAGTGATATTCCATGGAAAAACCCACCTATATCGGTTCGGACGTCTAGGAAGTACCCCATTCAAAAATATATGACCAGTTGGTTTCTTTGAGGATGTAATAAACACTTGATTACCATTTGTTAGGAAGCAACAATGAAATAACTACATAAATTTAAAACCAAAATTCCTATATAAATTTAAAAAAAACAACTTTTATACGACAGAAGTCTTACTTCACAAAAAGGGATATTATTAGGTAGTTCATCAATAACTTTTTTTACCCATGAACGAGGTGCTCTTAAAGGACAGAAGTCTGTGACCAAACATCCAACATTCAATAGCTTTGCCAAACCAACAACCGATTTTGCAACATACGTTTCATAAAGAAAGTTTCTTTCTATTTGATCAGTTTGATTAAATCGAGCATTTTCATCGGACCATCTGTGCTTGCATCCAGAAGATACATCTTCAGGTCTATCAATTTGATTGGAGGTAATCAACAAATGGAATGGGATATTCAATGAACGACATTCCTATGAAGGAGAAACCAACAGAGTCTTCATAGATATAATGTAATAAATATATTTCACTCTTAACGAAAATCTGGATGAATGCACAAACATGGAAGTCAAAACTAGACTATATCTTTACGATGTGTTGCACTGCGAGTTAACACTTTTTAAAACAAGAATAGTTTAATAACATTAAGATATTGGGTATAATAATAATGAGCCAATATTTTTAGACTGCTTAGTTATAAAAAATGTAATACAACTCTGGATCTAACAATTTTCCGTAGACCAAGACATATACATTGGGATATACATTTTAAATCCACACATCCTGTCAATATTAAACGTTGTATTTCTCTAGGTATGTTCATTGAAAATACTAAACTTGTCATACCAGAAGATAAAAAGAACTTGAAATAATACGCATTTTTCAGTTTAATGATTTTCTTGTAAATATCACCTAAAATATCATAAATTGCTCTGCCTAAAGTCTTCTAAAGCTACTGACAATCCCAAACCCGGATAAAGGAGGAGGGTTGAACATGGGGGTTAGCAACCGCATTCAATAAAAAATACCTTGATATACACTGAAAGAAAGAATTCACTCAAAACACTTATGCTGTCCTGAGAGCTGAAGGGTTTTTACATATAAAGGTTGTGACGCTTTAAAGTGAAAGCCGAGATTCTTTAGAAACCACGAGGCCGATATATCTACTGGCAACCAGAGCAAATATTAGTATAGGCACATGAAATGTCCGCGTTATGTGGGAGACCGGGAAGAAACTTTCAAATAGTAGCAGAAATGAAAAGATACAACCTTGCTTTGTTTGGAATAAGTGAAACCCATTAGACCCAAGGTGGACATAAAAGACTAGCTTCAGGAATAAGTGTTTTTGTACTCTGATCATGAAGAAAATTCGTCACACAGACAAGGAGTTGCGCTGATACTGCGAAAAGCGCTTATAGAATGAGAATTTCATGACTCCAGGATTATCAAAGCATCCTTCAAAACAAGGAAGGAAGGGACTACAATAAACACCACCCAGTGATATTTGCTCACCGATGATAGCAGCAAAGATGATGAAAATTATATTTAAGAGACTGCAGTTCATCGTGGACAACTGTCCGGAAAAAAAACCCTGACCATCTCGATGGGAGACCTAAACGCCGAGGTTGGTATGAGCAGGATCTGGTAGGAGGTTGTGGTCTTGAGTGCTGTTAGAGGTATGAGGGCGGTTATCACTTCCCAGTTACCCACACCGTGGAAGGGTTGTTCTGGAGGTACCTGAAAAGGAAATTGGATTAGAGGTGGTCTTAGTGACCTGAGAGCGTGACCGCAGTCTCCAAGGGACAACTGCTTGAGGTCGGTCACACACGACCTTTTTATGGGTAATTTTTGTGTTAACTCCGTACTTGTTGAGACCTTACCGCCGGAGACGGATATCCGTGGGATAAGACGAGGTGTGCATTTTTAGGGTCGACCTTTTCTACCCTCACCCCTCCTTGTGAGAAGGCAGCATCGCTGTCATGCTGGTTGTCTGAGGGAAACACCTTACTGCTGTCACACCTCTGAACAGTAAGCAGTACGACTTCGCCTTCGGACCTTGGGTTTGTTGCTTTTAGTCTTACCGCTCTTCAACCGACCTGTCTGACATGATAGGACCTTGAGGAACGGTTGTTCCAGCCAGTATAGCTCGGTTGCTTCATCACGATAGGCAAGCCCGATCACCACGTCAAGGTAGCAACAACGGTCGGGTAGGATAAAGGAATGAGAATAGTGAGACTGAAAAATCTATGTGCTTTTAACATGGTTATAATGGGTACTATTTTCTCCCACAAACTCATGTTTCATCGGAACACATTTCGTAGAATCAGATCGATTACATTTGCATCAAAATAAACTCAGAAGGTTGATGGAAAACGCAATAGCAAGAAGGGCCAATATAGTTTCAGACAACCGGATAAGCAACACAATTAAACTTTAATACAGCCTTTCTTCGAGATGCTAACAAACTCAGCAACTCAAAGATAGACCTCAGCAACAAGACCCAAGCCTTACAAGATCTGTTGGAAGGAGGAACCACGATAGAGAACTGGAAAGAGACTAGAGAATTAATAACTTCAATAAGCTAGAAAAGGCTGGGGAGCAAGGAACACCAAGATGGGTCGTTATTGATACCCTGTCCAAGACTAAAGATGGGAAAAAATGAGAAGACAGTAGCCAAGAGCCGAAAAAGAGCAGCGAAATCCAGAGTATATAGAAGCAAAAAACGAGTGGCGAAGAGCATTAAAGCTGACAGGCGGAAATATGTAGAATATCTAGCAATGACAGCAGATAAAGCTTCAAGAGAAGGAAATATGGGGGAACTATATGAAACAACCAAGAAATCAGAAGGGAAATATCGTAAACCAGAGCGACCAGCCAAGAACAAAGAAGGCAAATCAATTACTGAGGCCCAAGGACAGCAGAACAAGTGGGTAGAACACTTTGAAGAGCTCTTGAATAAACCAGTGCTACTGAATCCACCCGACACCGAAGTCGTATATACAGACCTCTCCATAGATGACACTCGGACGACAGAAATTAACAAGGCCATCAAACAAATCAAGAGTGCCACAGAGGAGGGACCAAATAGCATACGACCCGAAACATTAGATCAAGATATAGAGGTAGTTCTTACGATGTTTCATGAGAGCACGAAACCGGGTTCAGGGTTTCCTGTTGACTACCTCCAACCACGATCTTATCTCAGTATAGTGCACGCAGTGTCGAGTCATCTAGACTGGTGGCCACATTGTAACTTGGTCGATAACATCCGATCTGCACTAAGAAGGACTTGACACACATGACATTGATCATCACCCAGTGATCAATCAATTGTGAACTTTATGGAATCTTCTTCGGCACTATAAAGTACCTGAGAAAATTGTCATCATTATACGGAACTCCTACTAGAAACTGAACTGCGAAGTCGTGGATGGGAAGTAGCCCATAGATGCGTTCCAAGTGAAGACTAATATCAGATAGGGTTTCCTACCCTTACCTTTCCTCTTCCTTCTGGTTGTTGACTGGACTATGGAGACTTCCACGTCTCAGTGAACTAGGTGATTGGGACTTCATAGATGACCTAGCCTTTCTATCCCATACACAGTAACAAATGCAAATGAAGAACGCCAGTATACCAGCGGTTTTCACAACAGCAGGCCTGAATATTCACATAGAAAAAGATAAGATCCTGAAATGCAATACAGTGAGCACCAGCCCAATTACACATGATGGCGAAGCTCTGGAAGAGATGGAAGCCTTTACATTCCTGAGAAGCATCACTGATAAACAAAAAGGACCTGATGCATATATGAATGTATGGGTCGGTAAACCAAGGAGAAGCATCCTTATAGGTGAAGAATACCTGGAACCCAAAACAACTGTCATATAACGCCAACGTTAAAACAGTTCTGTTGTACGGCAATGAAACATGGAAAACTATCACTACTATCATTAAAAAACTGCAGGTGGTTATAAACAGCTGTCTACGCAAAATACTGCAGATCCATTGAGCAGAACCATCATCGTCACAGGGAAGAAACCAGTTTTCGTATGAAGAAATCAGCTAGAGACGCTGGAGCTGGATTGGACATATTACAGAAACCATCAAACTGGATCACAAAGCAAGCCCTAACTCGCAATACTCAGGGAGAAAGGAGTCAGACCAAGGAACGTATTGTGCCAAGAATTGGGGGTGGATATCAAAAGAACGGATAGAACTTAGCAACAATTAGAAAGGAAAGTCCAGGACAGAATTAGTTGGAGATTTCTGGTTGACGACCTGTGCTCCATGAAGGGGTAGCAGGTTTAAATAAGTAAGCTACCGTAGTTTTACGTTCTAGTTAAAGTACACCAGAAGCATAAAGGTTGTCAAAAAATAAAAAAGAATCAAAGCATTCTAAGAAACAGCAAACACATTTTGAAAAGGTTTTAGTCGGAATATAAGAAGAATCCCGTTCATATTAGCATAGGATTGAATCTACATACATTAATGTTTCGATTTGATGGGGATTTTTAAATAGATTAGATTGTTTCACAGGTTGAAATCGTGAGTCGATTGAAGCTAGACCACCATCGAAAACCTGGCCGTCCAGTGCTTCCAGGTTTTCCATGGTGGTCTAGCTTCAATCGACTCACGATTTCAACCTGTGAAATTTCTAAAACTCTCCACAAAACCCATTCTGAGATTAGATTGTGTCGATTGTGATGCTACTGTCCTGGGGAAATACTAACACGTCTCAAGAAACATCTGCGCTGCACAAAAAAGCCTCCGAAAACTTACGTAGAACTCGAAAACTATGGATCAAATCAGTAATATTAATACGTGCTATATACAACAACCATTTAGCTGATATCCAATATTTCCAAAGAATTCAAAAAGGTTTACCCAACTATGAAGAAACGCAAGTAACTGAAGTACTTGAAGTATTGCTGAACTTTGCTGCGCTCAAATGAAAGGAAGGATAAGTTATTCGACCGACCCTTTTCCAAACATTCAAAATAAGTTGCTCAAAGTTCACAATACAAACAAACTACTTGCTTATATCACAGTTATCACATCATACCTACCCACATACATATACGAATACAAAAGGACAAGTTTCACTTAAAACCACCTTTGATCTAAAAGACATGATATTAACAGGAACAGACTTAATTGTATGTACTAAATTTGAGTCGGCCCTGGTACGGCCGAGAGTGGGGAGAGTCCGCTCTCCCTCTCCAAATGTTCTCACATGGCTACGCGTATATAGCCTATGCCAGGCAAGTCCTACTCACTGCTTCTCGTGGCGGCGGTGTTGTTTACGAAAATAGAGGACGAAAAGCGAATGTCCGGCGCTTTAACCGGATCACAAACCGATGGTGCACATGGGCTCCTGTATCCTGCGGGAACAAATGGCGTACGAACCAATTGTTGGTCACCGGCTACCATGGGACTGCATCTCCTTACGATGCTCCCTGCCTTGTGGATCGGACCTTCAGGTCGAAGGCTCGGGGAGTGGCCCCCTAAGAAGACTACCTGCTTCTGTTTGGGCACCCGAACAGTGTCACAGCCCTCACATAAATCAAATGAGATTTGTGTGGCGCATATGTATTTGGTGCCTCCTTGTACCAATATTTATGTGTTAAAATAAATAATAACTAGTTAAACTCGCGTTAATCTGAAAAAAGCTATTTATTGTCTGGAGAAGCAACTTACATTGTTTTGAAATGTCGGAAATTTATTTTTCTGCTTACTGGAATATTACAAATATATTACTTACTTACTTACGCCTGTTACTCCCAAAAGAGCATAGGCCGCCGACCAGCATTCTTCAACTCACTCTGTCCTGAGCCTTCTTTTCTAGTTCCATCCAATTCTTGTTCATTTTTCTCATGTCTATTTCCGTTTCCCGGCGTAATGTGTTCTTTAGCCTTCTTCTCACTTACCATTGAGGATTCCAAGTGAGGGCTTGTCTTGTGGCGCAGTTGGTGCTCTTCTCAATGTGTGTCCTATCCACTTCCAGCGCCTCTTCCTGATTTTTTCCTCCACCGGGATATGGTTTGCTCTCCCCCACAGTAGGTTGTTGCTAATAGTGTCCGGCCAACGGATCCGAAGTATTTTGCGTAGACAACTGTTAATAAACACTTGTATCTTCCGGATGATGGCTTTCGTAGTTCTCCAGGTTTCTGCCCCATACAGTAGAACTGTCTTGACATTTGTATTGAAAGTCCTGACCTTGGTGTTGGTTGACAGTTGTTTTGAGCTCTAGATGTTCTTCAATTGTAAATATGCTGCTCTTGCTTTACCGATCCGTGCCTTCACATCTGCATCAGACCCACCATGTTCATCAATGATGCTGCCCAAATATGTAACGGTTTTTACATCTTTCAAATCGTCTCCGTCACTTGTGACTGGATTGGTGCATGCTGTGTTGTATCGGAGAATCTTGCTTTTTCCTTTGTGTATATTGAGATCTACTGCTGCTGAGGCTGCTGCTACACTGGTCGTTTTCTCCTGCATTTGTTGTTGCGATTGCGATAGGAGGGCCAGATCATCTATGAATCTAGATCGTCCAGCTGCATCCTAGATTTCCACTTTATCCCGCGTTTCCCTTCAGATGTTGACGTCTTCATGATCCAGTCAATCACCAGGAGAAACAGAAAGGGTGAGAGTAAGCAACCTTGCCTACAAATGTATTGCGATTACTTTATTACTATACTGTAAACAATTTTCGTCGTGAACCAACATCGGATAGAAAACCAAAAAAGCAAAATTAGAAAGTACTGGGTAGTCATTTTGTACCAAAAGTATACAATTTTAATTCAGCCGATTGCGTGAAATATCATGTACTAGTTTGAATTTCTTCAGTAATGGCCATATATACATATAAGCCAGCCTCTCAATACTTGAGTGCAGTGTGAAAATTTACTGGCAGCAAAATCTGATTCAAAGACTCCACGTGGATCTGTTGAGTAGTGGGGACAAGATTGCTAGATAATTTAGGCGGTAGGCAAATATCGGACTAATCCACCACTCTTATTCTGTACGTGAATCACTCAGGGTTCGCCCTTCGAGGCCGTAAAAGTTGTGAAAGGCTACCCTATGTGGATGCTTGAGTCTGGATTGCATGAGTCTCGTTTTGTGTGGTCGTGCATGTAGGTATGTGCAAAGGATAAGCGCCAGGTTCACAAACAGAACGTAAGCTGAAAAAATGTCTGCCATATATCTAATAAAATCAGAGGTCTAATTCATCATGTCAAGGACATAATAAGAAGATATGGTAGCAATTACTAAAGAGAGATGACCATCAACCCTTCCTCAGATAGTGCTTACGTTCATGTATATGTCATGAAGTGCATGGACGATAGTCTTTGTACAAGTGGTATACAAGCAATGAGTAAGACAATCAGTCGAAGCAAACACGTTCAAAGGTAACGGTAAGTATCTACCCTCCGATGTGGGTGGATATACCTATATGTATTTTATGGGATACATGAGTGAAAACGTGTGTGTGACCGGTGTGCATGTAACGTATATTAGCTCACAGGGTAAGTATACCTGTGTATCCCAAGGGATGCATGGATAAAAACTCATGTGTTAACGGCATGCATGTAGACCATACCTGCCCCTTGGCGCGGCGCCCGCGCTTCAAGACCCAGGGGTTTCAACAATCTCCCCACAAATTCACGCCCACACGGTAGGTTCGTAAGCCTCGGAAAGTGGATTTTAGAATCCAGACAAGTCTATGGACTTTGCAGAGTGAGACTATACTACCTTCAAACGGCTGGAATACCACACTAAATCGACATTTAATGGTCTACGCTTTTCAACTCCAAGTCAATTAGTGACAATGCAATTATCACCTGTTGTTACCAATAACGATGCACTTTACTGCGGCCTAATTGAGTTGACCTGTTACAACCTCCCCCTCAAATTTTAATATATTTATCTTCAAGTAAGCCAACAGTGAGCACACAAGTAGCAACTAATCAAAAGGCTCTTATGGTATGGTCGATACCAAGACACATTATATCATAAACTGAAGTATGAATATGTTAAAGTCTTGCTTTTTCGGGTTAGTTACTTTTATTGCTTAGTATCTTTTGGATACTACTCCACCCGATTGATCCCCAAGTCAGAAGACGACTTGGACAGGAACGTAACTCTGCCCCCCAAAAAACAGAAATTTGGCCAATTTCTTACAGTAAGGAAAATGTAAGTATAGTTACAAGTTTTATGCAGAAAGATTCCAAAGTTTTCTACACTTATATACGAGCAGTTACTAGCTAAAAAAATGAGCTCATCAGTGTGCTATAATGTGATTCCGTATGAAACGTGCTTTCATCTACTTTGTCCTGCTAGCAGAATGGTTTGTTTCAGAGCTAAAAATCCACACCATAATAAAGAACACTGGGTCGCACTAACAAAGAGGTTTACAGAGATACAAAACGTTAACGACTCAATAATTACAAAGCAATAGTTGGAAAGCAAAGATTTTTTGCAGTAATACATCAAGAAAGTATATATCTAAAATTACTATGAAGAAAACACTCGTCCCTAGCTTTCAAATCAATGTAGCTCATTTAGGTTCATGAACTCCGATTGGATCAAACTACGTGTAAGACGACTAGTGGTATATCCCAACTAACCAAACCGAGACAGGTGGAGTAGGGTTCCCACCTGAGAAGGACTAGTTGGAAACCAGATGAATTAGCCACTATGCCATTTCAAATAATCAATATATAACAACTGCGTACAATTTTGATTTAAATTTACTAATAAAATCAGGATGCTTTTGTTAACTTGTTAATAAATCTCATATATCCGGAAAAGGCTTCAGATCCCCTAACGTTATACTGCCTTGTGGATTAGACCTCTAATTCAGATGCTTGGGGAGTGCCCCCCTAAAATAACAACCTGCTTCGGTTTGGGCAACCAGGCAGTACTCCAGCCCTCATACAAATCGAATGACGAAGTGCGGCGCATATATAATTGGTGTCACCTTGTACCAACGTTTGTGTAAAAATAGATAAATAAATAATATGTTCTACAGGGAAGCTAACATGGTAGCTTTATTGAATGCAATCTTGAAGGTATTTTTAAATTTATAACAATTGTGGATTTTTTAAAATTTGTTCATATATCTAAGAATTAGTTAGAAATTTCCTGTAAAACTCTTTCGAGTTTCGTTTATTACGCGCTTGCTTTAAATTTATTGTTACTTAATTGTGCCTGAAATTAGTTCTTTCAACAAACCATCGTGTTTGATCTTTTGGTATCAAGTCTCCTAAATAAAAAAATAATATATTTGTAATATCCCAATGATATATTATATATTATTTTTATTTAAACTATCAACCCAATGCTTAATTTATTCGAAATTATCAAACCAAACCTTGGTAATGATACCTACAAGTCTCCTAATATATTCGGGGCTAAGCAACGTAATTCACTAAGGAAAATATCCGAAATTAGTTGAGAATCGTTTCAGTAAGGAACCAGATTGAGTTTATCGAAGCTTTCTAGTTAAATACTACTATTCTCGTGACATCTGTCAACCAGTTTCACACCAGTCATTTAATAGCAACGTAATATTGATGACAGGATCATATTAAAAATAATCAATATTTTGTACATGAGAAAACCAGTCACTTAGATGATATCAGATGACAGATGTTTAGGTAAGAAAGAACGACCATTGGTAAATCAAAGCATCTCTTATTACAAGTTTACTTCTGAGTCCATAATAATCAAGTAGAATGCCAAATGTAGACTATACGTACGTATCCAAAACAAATATTTTTATATGAATACAAATGAACTTACTTGTTCTACTTCAGTCAGTCCACCAATCATAAATGCAAACTGTCTCAAAGTATCAGCTTGGTAAGCAGGAACCAAACAAAAACATACTTGCAGTGGGACGTTGAATTTGATTGCCAGACGTTGTGCATAAATAAAAGCCCAGTTATCTAAATTATCCGATAAAATAAAAATATTTGGTTGCAGGTAACAGGAACAAGTAAGCCGTATAAACTGCATAACACATTTTAAAACCCATTTCAACAACTGATTAAATCACTCATCTGGATGGCGTACTCAGTCAGTCAGTCAGTAACAACGTAGAACTTCGTACGTACGTACACCAGTTCGAGTTGCCACACCACATTAATACAGAGATGCAGTTGTCGATTCAAATCCCGTAGTGGTAGAGGTAATAAGAGTATAAGCAGTAATCGGGAAGATTAGGGTTTGGAGATGTTATTTAAAGAGTATAATCCAGTGAAATAAATTTGGAAAGAGGAAAAAAAGGACATGAAGGATTCAGAAGATTAGAATTTGGGAGAACACAGAGAGTGGATGCACCTGCGCCATTGCAAACGATTTCGAGCCATGTCATTCAGGGTCTCTAACCATCGGTTGCTATCATCTCGCGGTCCCCAACCAGGTAGTCTACACCTACCAACATGACTCAGTCACTTGTCAGTGACTTCATGGACTTGTGCCATGTTTTGGTTTGGCCGCCCCTAGCTTTCTTCCAACCTACTCCTATACCACTGAACATAGCACGTCGAGGCAGTCGGTCGTTGGGCATACGTAACACGTGTCCAAGCCATCTCAACTGATGAAGTTTCACTACTTCATCAATTGATTTGCATCCTTACCCGTTTCCTAACAACTGTGTTACTTACTCGATGGTCCCATGATATACAAGCAATGTTTCGAAGACACCTATGATCAAATACTAGTAGCCTACGGATATCCTCTACTCTTACCGGCCATGTTTCACTTCCATAAAGTAGGACGGACCGAACTGCTGCGCAGTAAACACGTCCTTTGGTTGATAGACGGATATCTCGACAAGCACACTAAAGATGAATGAATTACGGTGCAGCTAAACTAAAATTTAATAACATGTATCACGAAAACGATGGAAACAACTTAGACTGACTAATCAAATTTGTATTTACCAATCTTCCGATAATCTAGTGGCGAACATGATACTAACACATGATTTAGTTATGTAGAATTAACAGGTACTTTACGGCACTTGAGATTTTCTAACATGATAAACATACTGAATACCGGTTAAATTTAGAATACTCATCACACGATGAGAATTTAGTCAAGAGATGACCTGACAATTAAAGGTCTGGGACAACTCAAATATAACACTAAAGGGTAGTGGCTATTTTGCACAAACGTGGTAAGATTCGTATCATCTACTTATACTACCTCTGGTAGTCAACATTTTAAGGTACCTGTACGCTGTTGTAATGAATAATTATAGGGGAAAATTACCAATAGCTGAGTGCAATGACTAGGTTTGAACACATGTCACAACACTATAGGGCTTAAATATACGCATGGATAGCGAAGTTTGAGAAAAATTAGTGAGAACTGAATGCCTAAACAAATCCATCTCAACTAAATAGCACGAAAGAAAAGTAAATACCCAGCTTGTAGTTGCTTCGGTTTGGGCACCCGAGCATTATCACAGCCCTCACAAATATCAAATGAGATTTGTGTGGCGCATATGTATTTGGTGCCTTTTGTACCAACACCTATGTGTTAAAATAAATAAAAAATTTAGTTGGAGTTGATCTTGATTCAGATTGTCAGTGAATCAGGACATAACCCTATATGGCTTTGGCAATCACATATCAACTTAAGTGAGTCTGAACTGAGCAACAAAAATGACTTCACTACTAATTATTAACACTAAAAAGCCAAAAAAATATAACCTCAGGTTGTATTACCCTGAACTCGGTGATCACGCGACATCCAGTAAAGTACTCCGCCCTGTCCCAATGCATCATCTTTTTCTGGGAAAGTGCCTGGCCCAGACAAATGCCTTATTCTTGATTTGTGAAACTTGAAATTTTCAGCAGAACTGGCAGTAGAAAGACGTTTATTATGCACATCCTCAAGCCACTCATGTACTGTTTTAGCCAGTATAGCCATTTTGTTTGACTTCCTATAAAATAGATGGATAATTATCCATTTCTTAATAAATCCAACAGGAAATTAACTTATGTTTAAACTATAGTTAGTAAACTATAGCTATAGCTATAGTTTACTATAGTATACTATATAGTACTACATACACTGTATACTATAGTATATACTAGCTACTTTCCTTTGTAGACTAGATATGTTCGACCTATGCAGACTGATTTATGTCTTACAATTACGTTAGGCTATAAAAAGTTTTTCTCGTTTTTATAAGAAAACGTGAGGACTCCAACTGGGTTTGTTATTGGTTGATGTCAGTCACGAGACTCCCAAGGCCAAATTAGGCATTTCAAGGGCAGTATGCCATTTATTTGAAAGACGCTGTTTCAAAATTCAGTAATAAGGATAGGAGGTCATAATAATCCTTTCAGTTTGTAACAATGTGGAGGTTCAATATCGTTCTGAATACATCAACAGGTGCTGATGTTCCCGTAATTCACTACTCGGTGTGAGAAACGAAAGTCCAGACGTAAACGACTTGATCTCGGTTTTTGAACTTTCTTCGAGTGTCCTCTCAGATGATCAGTCGTAGACGGAAGTAAAAGATAAGACATGTTAATGCCAAGGTCATTATTCAGTATACGATAAGCCAATATTAGATCGCCCCGTACCCTATGGTAAGATAACGGAAATAAGTTAAGTTGTTTCAGTTTGTCTTCATAAGATAGGCCAGATAAACCTTTTACCATCTTATTACCTCGTCTTTGAACTCTTCCCAGCATATCTTCTTCATGCTTGAATCCCATATTCCAAATGTGGTCGCACATAAATCGGGTATAATAATTTAAATATTTCGTCATCTAAATAATGGAAAGACCTACCAATAGACAATAACTTCTTATAGCCTTTAGCAGCAGCAGCCTCACAGTGACTAGTGGTTTTCAGATCTGACCTGGAACATTTCTGGGTGAAAAAAAGGAAAACTGATTGTTTTTTGAAACTTGAATCACGATTCCTAAATGCTTTTAACGTCTACTGCTACTAGCCTTTTATGTCTATCTTTAACAATGTCATACTCATTTGAAGATGCCGCAAGTATTCCGAGAATGACAACGTCTTAACCAGCAACATCTTCTACTATGAATTGTACCCACTAAGTGAAATCAAAAGACAGAAGAGAGGAGGTTTGAAGATATATTTGATAGCCTATCAATATATCGAGGGTCGACTGATATAATCTGGCTAGAGATTGCAGGGGATGTTGAGCACGGCATTCCCACTCGCGACCTGGCGCGGATGAAAAACCGAGTGCTTTCAGCTAGACGGGTCCATTAAAACTAATGGGGTCAAAAATGAATGTCGAAGGTTTACAGGGCTATTTGTTCTAAGGATTTATTTACCTCCATATATGAGTTCAAATAATTCCGGATGAAATTGAAGAAGCTTTCTCATAACGGACTACCATATTTAGTTGCAGTGGATCATCGATGATGGGAGAAAAACTAAATATGGGCATATATCTTGGTAGATGCAGGGAATTTCTTAAAAGAGATGGCTATTTTCCGACAGTATCCTAGGCGGGCAGGGTTGACGCATCAGTACCTACCGCTACTAGGTTTTTACATACGTAAGTATCCAGATTGTTAGGAGTGCTAGGTCTTAGTAGCCGGGAGCTGGAAATCGGTGAAGGTCGATAAACATGAACGCGATATTGATCATCGAACAGCATGGTTCGCACCACCTTAAATATATCAATTTCCTAGTAAGGTTTCGTCCGTAGGATATAAAATCTTGCTTTCTATGTGTATATAACCACGGTTTTGAATGTACTCAGATACATGCATCTTATGTAACAATAGTTCTTCGTCATTCCTTCCATATTACGCTATTTGACTCTCTATATCCAGGAACATCACGTTCATTATTTATTTCGGTCAAAACCGTTAGTGTAGCACTCAGGCTAGTGTAGTTTGACTCCTATAAAATCGATAATACAGTGTTTCATTCTAATCCTCTTACAAACATAAACTCGAAATTTCATGCACACAGTTCTCTTTATCATTTTGAAAGGAGAAAAGGCAAAATATTTAGAAGAATAGCATGAATTCATTTTATTTCGTTGGTTCTCTTCAGCTATTTGCAACTTGTGATATTTCAAATCATAATTATAAAATGGGTCAAAATTATTTACCCAAAACACAAATATAGAAGAGGGTGGAGTGGTCCTAATCATGTGTTTAAGAGAGAGCCGATAATCTCCTCCTAAGATAAAAACATTGACTTTTTTACATGGGGTGGGTATCATGTTTACTTTTTTTGTAGTGAGTGGTGGAAGGTTTGCTTGTGCGAATTAAGATCTCGCACTACATTTGCTTCAGGCACTGGGTAATAAATTTATTAGAACCACCTTAAAGTCTTTTACATAAATGCTTAAGGAGAAGTTATGGAAGAACATCCAAACAGATAGCATCGCTAGAATATAAAGCTCTCAGGGTTATTTAACCGAATTCCCGCAGTGAAGTCTAAGACACATTAAGTCGTTAAACTTTTGAAGAATACAAACTATTCAAAATAGAATATTTCAAAGTTAATCAAAGTATGTTCCTAGCACTCATTTTGTCTTGGCTTTCGATCTCAATGTTTTCATGAGCTACATATGTTTAGTACTCAAAGTGTATATTTCACTTAATACGTCATATTCTGGTGGCTTTAACATTAATTTACCGTCATTTAATTGCCTGTTCGAATTGAACGACTTGGTTTATCTTTCTCAGACAATAGTAGGTCTGCTATCGAAAAAGGCCTATTATTGTTCCATGGATTTAGTGTTTACGATTCTTGAAATTTTTCACTCAGTATGATGTGGTTCTAGTTATGCTGCTTTCAGTAAATTAAACTGGTTCATCAGTTGAAAATGGAAATACACTCTTTGCTTGTCATAAACACAATAATTCTTTTCCACGTACCATCAACTTTTAACATAATAGATGTCCTTTAAGTTGATTGTAATCAATCTTATAGATGTAAGCTTGTTAAACTGACTTCAGAACTCTAAGTTAGGGATTGCCTCGTGATGCAGTTTGGTGATTTCCGTAATGTATGTTCTAGCCATTTCCATCGTCTTTCCATAATTTCCTCCTCCGTTGGAAGCTGACTTGTTACCTTCCACAGTAGGGTGTTGCTGATGGTATCCGGCCAATAGATATTCAGTATCTTGCGTAGACAACTATTTATAAGTACTTGTACATTCTTGATGGCAGTTGTTGTAGTTCTCCAAGTGTAACAGCATAGGTTGGTTGGTTAAGAGTCGACCCCGAACAACCAAGCATATGCCAAGACAATACAGGTCAAGTATTCACTCACTTCCTTATTTTGCATAGGCGTTATATTTCCTATTATATTATATTGAATGTTGAGAGCCTTTGTTTGTCTGAACAAATAATCCCATGCTCCATTGTGACTGCGCGAAGATCGAAATAAAGACCTATTCACTACTTGTCTGGTTTCTTCTGTCAATAGCACGAGGGTTACCTTAAGGCGCGAAACAAGTTTTGGCTCCGTACAGTATAACTGTTTTGACGTTCGCATTGAGGATTCTGATTTTCATATTGGTTGAAAGTTGTTTTGAGTTCCATATGTTCTTCAACTGTAGGAATGCTATCCTTGCTTTGCCAATTCCCGCCTCTATATCTACACCAGACCCCCCACATTCATCGATGATGCTGCCCATGTAGGTGTAAGGTTCGATCTATATTTGAGGATCCTGCTGTTTCCTTTGTGTATGTTGAGGCCTACTGATGCAGAGGCTGTTACTAAACCAGTTGTTTTCATCTGGATTTGTTCATGTGTAGAAGAGAAAGGTCATCTGTAAAGTCTAAATAATTTAGTTACATCCAAGTTGTCGACTGTATTCCATGCTTCCCTATATATGTCGAGGTCTTCATAATCCAGTCAACTACCCGAAATTTGAAGAAGGGGCAGAGTAATTAGTCTTGTCTGACACCAGGCCTCACTTGCAATGCATCTATCAGTAGTCCTCCATGCACGACTTTGTACTGTAACCGTCGTGTGAGTTCCATATAATGTTGACAATCGTCTCAGCAACTCCATAGTGTCGAAGAGGTTTCTATAATGTCATCCTATCCACACTGTCAGACGCCCTCTCACAGTCAGGGACGTTGATACATAGTGACGAGTTCCATTGAATTGATAGTTTATCGATGAGCTGAAGTGCCGTGATTTGGTCTGTGCACTATCGATACCTACGGAATCCAGCATGTTGACCTCAAATTTGGGCATCTACTGCGTCTTTCATCTGCTTCAGCAGCATTATGTTGAAAAGCCTTCCTGGTACTGACAGTAATGTGATTCCTCTGTAGTTCTCACACTTGCTCAGATCTTTTTTGGTATTTTGATGAGTTGTTCTTCTTTCCAGTCCATCGGCACTTATCCTTCACCTAAAATCATACTATTAATTTTAGTGGCTCCATTCAATATTATTTTTTTGGTACAATATAGAATTCTCAGCACAGAGTGTTTCAAAAGTTTCCTTTTCTAATTTCCTGATCGATATTGCGATAAATATTGAGTGATCGCTAGTTAGATTTTATCAGTCCAGGAATCGACATCTGGATGGTGTATATCCTTTTCGATGCGTATCGCCACCAAACACGATGTTTCTGATTGTGCTTTTTGTACCTTGTACAGCGAAATGCCATAAACCTTTCACAAAAGTACCTGAATAGGTTATGAGAGTAATAGGCATCATGATGTGCTAGAACAAATAAGAAAACAGATAATATGTTGAAATATCTAGATGGCGGGAACAGGTAGCCCTGATATTCAAGCATGTTTGCAGTCACTTCTATACCTGATCAGTATTTCGTTTGGTATGTGGTCAGGTCCCGCTACTTTCCCATTCTTGATTTGTCTGATGACCAGGCATCCTGATTTCTTCGATCGTTGGTGGAGTGACATCTATAGGAAGGTCTGTAGGTGCTGCTTGATTATCCAGTGGATTTTTCGTGCCTTAAGGTAACCCTCGTGCTATTGACAGAAGAAACCAGACAAGTAGTGAATAGGTCTTTATTTCGATCTTCGCGCAGTCACAATGGAGCATGGGATTATTTGTTCAGACAAACAAAGGCTCTCAACATTCAATATAATATAATAGGAAATATAACGCCTATGCAAAATAAGGAAGTGAGTGAATACTTGACCTGTATTGTTTTGGCATATGCTTGGTTGTTCGGGGTCGACTCTTAACCAACCAACCTAAGCAGTTACATTAGCTTCCCCCTAGAATCGACTTCCGTAGGAACGTCGGTTCGATTAATCTATCTATCGAAAACACCTTAGTTCTATTTCTCATCCCAAGGGAAAATTATCAACTCGCTCACTATTTGACTTACAATCAGTGACGACTAACGCTGTCAGCTGTCAACGATAGTCCATGGATGTCTCTTCATTTACTAGCTTGTCATCTTATTTTGTAGCATGTGATCTCTTCTGCAACTATCGCTGACGGTTTGCTGCGTGCTTTCAAGAGAAAGAGTGTGAGAATGTGGAATAAGAATATCTGAGGAAGTGCCGCGAGCGGGCTACCCAACACCATGTTGGTGAGGTACGATTTTTCCATGCTCAGACCGGCTATCAAGTGTTTACTCACCTGCCTCTTGAGTCGCCCTCAAGTAAAACGTAAAGAAGAATCTACTTCAAAGGTAATGGTGAAAACCAATCAAACCTGAAGAACTGCTCCACTGCCTGCATAAAAATAATAAGATATAAAATGGAAATACATAAATATAATTGATAACTGTTCGGTTCCACGTAAGTGATTGGCCTCCAGAAAGGATTGGTATTCTGGAAGGAAATAGACATAGTGTAGCCCTCTTGTGTACGAAAAGGTATGAAAACAAAAAAAACTATTTTATAATGCATATATGTAAAAGTGTAAACTTGCTAGAAGTTGGACTCATTGTCAAACCCGATTAAATGTATGACCTTGGGCCTATGACGACCGCCTTTTATAACCAGGTACGTTGTAACAGTATCGAAAGTCATTACGTGTAACTTTATTAATGCAGGTTTGTTTTCCTTATTGCAGGACAACAGAAAGTGAACGTATTAGAAGAAGAAGAACAAAGCTTGCGCAAACTAAACCTGCTGGATGATGAGTAAAACTATTTTGTAACAGACTTCTCTTTTTGTACAAAAACCGCGTATTTCAATTTCTAATATATCTCTGTTGTGCTCGCACGCCGTGTTCTCACTTGAGTGGCATCTGCCAGTCCTGACTGTTGTGTTGTGTTTCAGATTGCTCCTGCCTCCAGGTAAACGCTAAGAATACGTGCTACAAGTGGTGATGGAGGTGTTTATGTCAAAACATGATGAACCCCCAGCCATCCCTGGCAAGTTAACAGTCAACACAACCCCTCGCCAACCGCCACTGTTAGGCGTCTCATCAGACTATGACATCTGGAAAATTAGAGTAATGACGTGCCTACGTCGAGTTCCAACTTCGGAACACTTCGACTACCTTCTGTCCTACTTAGATGACGAAGCAGCGAAACGAGCGACAGCTAACGGCTTTACTGCGTGCAATTCACCATCTCAAAATTGGAAGATTTTAGATGAATGTTTTTCGTTGAAGGTGGATACCCAGCAGTCAGCCATCCAATTTTTGTCTCGCCACCAGAAACCTCATGAAAGCCCCATCGACTATCTTCACTCATTACAGCAGATAGCAACCCAGGCATTCCCTAGCCTAGACATCTTGGGGCGAGAAGAAATTACACGCTCCCGTTTTATTGAAGGACTGCTGCCAGGTGCACTGCGAGAACATCTACTTCGAGTGCCACCGGCTGACACAGCCGACTTGAAACGAACGGCACTTCGATTTTTGACTGCTGAAAGACTGTCAGTTCCATTGGCGACCTATCGACCAACCGTGATGACTATCGATGAAGCCACCGAACCTAATCTACAAGATAGCTTTCAAAGTGCCGCGGCTATTAGAGAGTTCCCTGACCGGAATAGTAGACGAGGGCAGCCGACTTCCACATGGAACGGACGGTCGTCAAGAGACAACTATCGAGGCCAGCAAACAGAATGCTTCTACTGCAGACGTTTCGGCAAAAATGCCAAGAAATGCGGTCATAACCGCGTGAAAAACAGAGGTAAGCAGTGTCGTTTGCATATATCGTCTTGCTATGTTAAACATTTGTGCCCTGTTACTATTAAGGGTAGAGTGCAAAGTACTGAGATTAATATACTATTAGATACAGGAGCTTCAGTATCCTTGATCAAGGAAGACCTCTTGCAGAAACTTAACCACAGCACTCAGCGTAAACAATGCTCTTCTACCTTAATTACCGCGAGCGGAGAACCCTTGAAAGCGTGTTCTAAGATAGGGTTAGAGCTGACGGTTGACAAGAAGCCTTTTCAACATGAATTCTGGGTTTGCCCCACACTGACTTGGGACATGATTCTCGGGGTCGACTTCATGTTAAAATACCAGGTCTCTATACACATGAATAAGTCAGAAGCGAGTATTGGTGGAGTTGTCGTGCAAATACAACACCATGAAATACCAACTAAGTCCGTAGCCCAGGTGGGAATTTCAGAAATTGTACGTCAGGTACAAGATAATAAAATAATAATTGAAAAAGACCGTCGAGCAACCACTGCTGTACTCCAACAATTCAGTTCCGTTTTCTCTGAGAATATCTCTGGAAATCGGACGACCACTGTACAGCACTCCATCCTCACAGGTGATCACACGCCATTACGTCAACCACCTCGCCGAGTACCAGTACATTACCAGCCTCAATTAGAATCTATGGTAAAAGATATGCTGGAGAAAAAGATCATTGTACCATCTTCATCACCATGGGCATCGCCTATCGTTTTAGTGAAAAAGAAAGACTCTTCCCTACGACTATGCGTAGACTACCGCCGCCTTAACGCTATAACTAAACGTGATTCTTTCCCACTTCCACGTATAGACGCTACATTAGATGCCATGAAAGGCGCTCGTTGGTTCTCGACTTTAGACTTAGCATCAGGGTATTGGCAAGTGGAAGTCCGACCTCAAGATAGAAAAAAGACTGCATTCACAGTACCCAATGGTCTATATGAGTTTCAAGTGATGCCGTTTGGGTTAACTAATGCCCCAGCCACTTTCCAACGATTAATGCAGACAGTTCTACATGGTCTCGTACCACACCAGTGTTTAATTTACCTTGATGATATTATTGTGTATGGCAGAACGCCGGAACAGCATAATGCCAATTTGAAGGCAGTCCTACAACGAATTAAGCAGCATAACCTAAAAGTTAAACCATCTAAATGTCGACTATTGCAAAAAGAAGTGCTCTTTCTAGGGCATCGCATTACAGAAGATGGAGTAGCAACAGATCAGGGAAAAACGAGCGCCATTATTAACTGGCCACAACCGAAATCTGCCGAGGATGTTCGCAGCTTCCTGGGACTCGCTTCTTATTATAGACGTTTCGTACGGGATTTCGCATCCCTGGCAGCACCTCTGCATCGCCTGACGCACAAAGGACGAACATTTTTGTGGACCACAGAGTGTCAACAAGCATTTAGCACTTTGAAGTCGTGTCTTGCTGCTCCGCCCATACTAGCTTTTCCGGACACTTCTGCTAAAGCGGGTGAGTTTATACTCGATACAGATGCTAGTTCATCAGCTATTGGAGCAGTCCTGTCTCAAATAGCAGTAGATGGACAGGAGCGGGTCATTGCCTACGCTAGTCGGCGGTTAGATAAGAGGGAGACAAGGTATTCTACGACGCGCCGAGAGATGCTGGCTTTGGTAAAATTTTCGCAACATTTTCGTCACTATCTTTTAGGACGACCCTTTCGTGTACGCACAGACCACCGTGCACTACAGTGGCTTCGTTCGTTCCGTGAACCAGAAGGTCAGGTAGCGCGCTGGCAGGAGAGGTTGCAGGAGTTTGATTTTACCTGTGAATACCGACCCGGAAGCCGACACACAAACGCTGATTCTCTATCTCGTATACCTTATTCTCCTGATACCATTAGTGCCGTCCTTAGCACAGCCCCCGAGATCGACTGGCCGTCTCTTCAAGCAGAAGACCCAGATCTGCGATTTATTTATCAGAGGCAACTACATGGCAATAATAAACCATCTATGGCAGAGTTAAAGGATCATTCCTTGGCAACGCGCCGTCTTTGTGCCAAGTGGGGCGGTCTAAGATTGTATGAAGACACGCTATTTATAGTCAGTGAATCAAAACAACCACTATTGATAGTACCACGTATACAAGTTCAGAATATTATGGAGCAGGTACACCGAGAACTGGGGCACTCAGGAACACGGAAGACTGAACATGCTATCTGCGGAAGGTTTTGGTGGCCATCCATCCACGAAGACGTTGCAGAATTCTGCAAAAATTGTAGCACGTGCTATGCTATCAAGTCACCCCGACAAATACCCCGCGCACCCTTAGTTCCAATGACGACAGAAGGTCCGCATCAGCGAGTTGGCATCGATATTATGGGGCCACTCACAACGTCGAAGAACGGAAACCGTTATTTACTGGTTATGGTAGACTATTTCAGCAAATGGTGTGAAGCTGTGCCTATACCACAACAAGATGCCCTCACAGTTACTCGGGCTTTCATTGATCATTGGGTATCCCGGTACGGCGCTCCCCTCTCACTCCATTCTGACCAAGGTTCAGCTTTTGAAAGTCATCTCGTCGCCCAGGTATGTCGATTATTGGGAATCCGGAAAACACACACTACCGCATATCATCCAGAAGGTAACGGCTTAGTAGAAAGAACCAACAGGACTATCAAAGCTCTCCTTCAATCGTTTATCAATAAGTCGTCGACGGAATGTTGGAATGACGTGATACCACAATGTCTGTTAGCTTACCGCTCATCAGTGCACGGATCTACAGGATTTTCACCGGCGACCCTACTTTTTGGGCATGAATTGCGCCTACCCGTTGAGCTGCAAATACCGCTGTTACCATGCGAGATCCAAGATCATGTAGTATACATCCGTAATCTTCGCAGCCGCCTAGCCGACGCCTATCGCTTAGTGAAGATCAACCTACAAAATGCCAGCAAGCACCAAAAGGACGTGTACGATCGCAAGACGAACGGACCTGTGTATAAACCCGGAGATCGCGTGTGGCTGCACCGCCCTTTGGCTCCACCGGGGACATGCAGCAAGTTCCATCACCCTTGGCAAGGACCTTACGAAGTTGTGTTTATGCGGTCTCCCACTACATTCGTCTTACGTAACCTCCAACGACCCCAAGACGATGTTATAACAGTACACTACAATCAATTAAAGCCAGACAAGACAACGGTGCACTTAGATACCCCGTTTGTCAACCCCCCGACTGCCGTCAGCCATTATGAAGTGCCACCAGAAGGAGGGGTAGCATACCCATGTCCAGCACCAGGCACTGAGGACAGTGCCTCATGAAGAGAGGGGATAGTGTAACAGTATCGAAAATCATTACGTGTAACTTTATTAATGCAGGTTTGTTTTCCTTATTGCAGGACAACAGAAAGTGAACGTATTAGAAGAAGAAGAACAAAGCTTGCGCAAACTAAACCTGCTGGATGATGAGTAAAACTATTTTGTAACAGACTTCTCTTTTTGTACAAAAACCGCGTATTTCAATTTCTAATATATCTCTGTTGTGCTCGCACGCCGTGTTCTCACTTGAGTGGCATCTGCCGGTCCTGACTGTTGTGTTGTGTTTCAGATTGCTCCTGCCTCCAGGTAAACGCTAAGAATACGTGCTACAAGTGGTGATGGAGGTGTTTATGTCAGAAAATGATGAACCCCCAGCCATCCCTGGCAAGTTAACAGTCAACACAACCCCTCGCCAACCGCCACTGTTAGGCGTCTCATCAGAATATGACATCTGGAAAATTAGAGTAATGACGTGCCTACGTCGAGTTCCAACTTCGGAACACTTCGACTACCTTCTGTCCTACTTAGATGACGAAGCAGCGAAACGAGCGTCAGCTAACGGCTTTACTGCGTGCAATTCACCATCTCAAAATTGGAAGATTTTAGATGAATGTTTTTCGTTGAAGGTGGATACCCAGCAGTCAGCCATCCAGTTTTTGTCTCGCCACCAGAAACCTCATGAAAGCCACATCGACTATCTTCACTCATTACAGCAGATAGCAACCCAGGCATTCCCTGGCCTGGACATCTTGGGGCGAGAAGAAATTACACGCTCCCGTTTTATTGAAGGACCGTTGCTAGGTGCACTGCAAGAACATCTACTTCGAGTGCCACCGGCTGACACAGCCGACTTGAAACGAACGGCACTTCGATTTTTGACTGCTGAAAGACTGTCAGCTCCATTGGCGACCTATCGACCAACCGTGATGACTATCGATGAAGCCACCGAACCTAATCTACAAGATAGCTTTCAAAGTGCCGCGGCTATTAGAGAGTTCCCTGACCGGAGTAGTAGACGAGGGCAGCCGACTTCCACATGGAACGGACGGTCGTCAAGGGACAACTATCGAGACCAGCAAACAGAATGCTTCTACTGCAGACGTTTCGGCAAAAATGCCAAGAAATGCGGTCATAACCGAGTGAAAAACAGAGGTAAGCAGTGTCGTTTGCATATATCGTCTTGCTATGTTAAACATTTGTGCCCTGTTACTATTAAGGGTAGAGTGCAAAGTACTGAGATTAATATACTATTAGATACAGGAGCTTCAGTATCCTTGATCAAGGAAGACCTCTTGCAGAAACTTAACCACAGCACTCAGCGTAAACAATGCTCTTCTACCTCAATTACCGCGAGCGGAGAACCCTTGAAAGCGTGTTCTAAGATAGGGTTAGAGCTGACGATTGACAAGAAGCCTTTTCAACATGAATTCTGGGTTTGCCCCACACTGACTTGAGACATGATTCTCGGGGTCGACTTCATGTTAAAATACCAGGTCTCTATACACATGAATAAGTCAGAAGCGAGTATTGGTGGAGTTGTCGTGCAAATACAACACCATGAAATACCAACTAAGTCCGTAGCCCAGGTGGGAATTTCAGAAATTGTACGTCAGGTACAAGATAATAAAATAATAAGTGAAAAAGACCGTCGAGCAACCACTGATGTACTCCAACAATTCAGTTCCGTTTTTTCTGAAAATATCTCTGTAAATCGGATGACCACTGTACAGCACTCCATCCTCACAGGTGACCACATGCCATTACGTCAACCACCTCGCCGAGTACCAGTACATTACCAGCCTCAATTAGAATCAATGATAAAAGATATGCTAGAGAAAAAGATCATTGTACCATCTTCATCACCATGGGCATCGCCTATCGTTTTAGTGAAAAAGAAAGACTCTTCCCTACGACTATGCGTAGACTACCGCCGCCTTAACGCTATAACTAAACGTGATTCTTTCCCACTTCCACGTATAGACGCTACATTAGATGCCATGAAGGGCGCTCGTTGGTTCTCGACTTTAGACTTGGCATCAGGGTATTAGCAAGTGGAAGTCCGACCTCAAGATAGAAAAAAGACTGCATTCACAGTACCCAATGGTCTATATGAGTTTCAAGTGATGCCGTTTGGGCTAACTAATGCCCCAGCCACTTTCCAACGATTGATGCAGACAGTTCTACATGGTCTCGTACCATACCAGTGTTTAATTTACCTTGACGATATTATTGTGTATGGCAGAACGCCGGAACAGCATAATGCCAATTTGAAGGCAGTCCTACAACGAATCAAGCAGCATAACCTAAAAGTTAAACCATCTAAATGTCGACTATTGCAAAAAGAAGTGCTCTTTCTAGGGCATCGCATTACAGAAGATGGAGTAGCAACAGATCAGGGAAAAACGAGCGCCATTATTAACTGGCCACAACCGAAATCTGCCGAGGATGTTCGCAGCTTCCTGGGACTCGCTTCTTATTATAGACGTTTCGTACGGGATTTCGCATCCCTGGCAGCACCTCTGCATCGCCTGACGCACAAAGGACGAACATTTTTGTGGACCACAGAGTGTCAACAAGCATTTAGCACTTTGAAGTCGTGTCTTGCTGCTCCACCCATACTAGCTTTTCCGGACACTTCTGCTAAAGCGGGTGAGTTTATACTCGATACAGATGCTAGTTCATCAGCTATTGGAGCAGTCCTGTCTCAAATAGCACTAGATGGACAGGAGCGGGTCATTGCTTACGCTAGTCGGCGGTTAGATAAGAGGGAGACAAGGTATTCTACGACGCGCCGAGAGATGCTGGCTTTGGTAAAATTTTCGCAACATTTTCGTCACTATCTCTTAGGACGACCCTTTCGTGTACGCACAGACCACCGTGCACTACAGTGGCTTCGTTCGTTCCGTGAACCAGAAGGTCAGGTAGCGCGCTGGCAGGAGAGGTTGCAGGAGTTTGATTTTACCTGTGAATACCGACCCGGAAGCCGACACACAAACGCTGATTCTCTATCTCGTATACCTTATTCTCCTGATACCATTAGTGCCGTCCTTAGCACAGCCCCCGAGATCGACTGGCCGTCTCTTCAAGCAGAAGACCCAGATCTGCGATTTATTTATCAGAGGCAACTACATGGCAATAATAAACCATCTATGACAGAGTTAAAGGATCATTCCTTGGCGACGCGCCGTCTTTGTGCCAAGTGGGGCGGTCTAAGATTGTATGAAGACACGCTATTTATAGTCAGTGAATCAAAACAACCACTATTGATAGTACCACGTATACAAGTTCAGAATATTATGGAGCAGGTACACCGAGAACTGGGGCACTCAGGAACACGGAAGACTGAACATGCTATCTGCGGAAGGTTTTGGTGGCCATCCATCCACGAAGACGTTGCAGAATTCTGCAAAAATTGTAGCACGTGCTATGCTATCAAGTCACCCCGACAAATACCCCGCGCACCCTTAGTTCCAATGACGACAGAAGGTCCGCATCAGCGAGTTGGCATCGATATTATGGGGCCACTCACAACGTCAAAGAACGGAAACCGTTATTTACTGGTTATGGTAGACTATTTCAGCAAATGGTGTGAAGCTGTGCCTATACCACAACAAGATGCCCTCACAGTCACTCGGGCTTTCATTGATCATTGGGTATCCCGGTACGGCGCTCCCCTCTCACTCCATTCTGACCAAGGTTCAGCTTTTGAAAGTCATCTCGTCGCCCAGGTATGTCGATTATTGGGAATCCGGAAAACACACACTACCGCATATCATCCAGAAGGTAACGGCTTAGTGGAAAGAACCAACAGGACTATCAAAGCTCTCCTTCAATCGTTTATCAATAAGTCGTCGACGGAATGTTGGGATGACGTGATACCACAATGTCTGTTAGCTTACCGCTCATCAGTGCACGGATCTACAGGATTTTCACCGGCGACCCTACTTTTTGGGCATGAATTGCGCCTACCCGTTGAGCTGCAAATACCGCTGTTACCATGCGAGATCCAAGATCATGTAGTATACATCCGTAATCTTCGCAGCCGCCTAGCCGACGCCTATCGCTTAGTGAAGATCAACCTACAAAATGCCAGCAAGCACCAAAAGGACGTGTACGATCGCAAGACGAACGGACCTGTGTATAAACCCGGAGATCGTGTGTGGCTGCACCGCCCTTTGGCTCCACCGGGGACATGCAGCAAGTTCCATCACCCTTGGCAAGGACCTTACGAAGTTGTGTTTATGCGGTCCCCCACTACATTCGTCTTACGTAACCTCCAACGACCCCAAGACGATGTTATAACAGTACACTACAATCAATTAAAGCCAGACAAGACAACGGTGCACTTAGATACCCCGTTTGTCAACCCCCCGACTGCCGTCAGCCATTATGAAGTGCCACCAGAAGGAGGGGTAGCATACCCATGTCCAGCACCAGGCACTGAGGACAGTGCCTCATGAAGAGAGGGGATAGTGTAACAGTATCGAAAGTCATTACGTGTAACTTTATTAATGCAGGTTTGTTTTCCTTATTGCAGGACAACAGAAAGTGAACGTATTAGAAGAAGAAGAACAAAGCTTGCGCAAACTAAACCTGCTGGATGATGAGTAAAACTATTTTGTAACAGACTTCTCTTTTTGTACAAAAACCGCGTATTTCAATTTCTAATATATCTCTGTTGTGCTCGCACGCCGTGTTCTCACTTGAGTGGCATCTGCCAGTCCTGACTGTTGTGTTGTGTTTCAGATTGCTCCTGCCTCCAGGTAAACGCTAAGAATACGTGCTACAGCGTAACCAAGGGTGCATAAGAGTACTCCACAAACGGAAAAGAATATACGGTTAAGAAGCAAAAAAACTGTGTAGAGTATGCGGATCAAGTACAGTTGTGTCAAATACCCTTTTCTGGTTTGATTTAGGTGTGCATGATATATTGAAGCAATATTTCGTCAATTCATCCAAGTAACGAATTGGTCTGCACCTCAGAAGTCCTACTACTCATTAGTATTATGAGTGATTAATTGGTGTAAGGAAATATTGAAGTCACTTCCTCCGTGGTCTGATGTCGTTTAACGGCTAAGCACGCGGTCTAGCATCCAGGAGGGCAGAAGTTCGAGTGCGTGTGGGGCCTGCGTTTTTGTTCACCGAACCCACCTTCAATACGATGTTTGTTGCTTGTAAGTCGCTCAGATATGAGAGAAAAATGGACAAGAGGACAGATTGATATATCAAAGTGCCATATTGGAAAAGTACAAGCTCTTTGTTTACATTAATATTATTACTATAGAAAAAAAACAAGTTTAGTAAATTTCCATTTTATATATGTATATATATATATATCAGTTATTGACATAAAATGTCTTTTTTATAACGGTAGTGTTAAGTTCCACGACTTTGTATGGGCCACTTATAATAATTGGTTTAATGCTAGCATAGCCGTGATATTCATATCGTCAGTTCAATGTTATGATTACTAAACAGTTCCCTTATAAGTTATGTTTAGAATTAGGTATGTGGAATCAATGCGGCTAACATAGTAACCTTACAGTAACGCACTGTACTATATTTTCACAGTTATTGATTCTTAAATGTCAGAAATTTTTTTAAAAAAAATCTGAATATTGCCAATAAAGATGGGTTATATGATCACACTAAAAAGCATGCTAAAGAAGAACTGGTTAAGTTATTGCGTAAGTTTCCTAAATAGGAAAAAAAATGATGAGAACTTTAATAAGTACTTGACCATGGTTTAATCCAAAATGTTTTGTCTAAAAACTACTTATTAATAGTAGTATTAATCGTATCAAGCTACTAAACATATCCTCAACCGAAAACTTTTAGAAGTAGTTCATATGGTATATATGTATAGCCAGTCTACGTGAAAAATGTATATAGATATATAAGAAGTACAGCCAACATAGTTAATTAACCAGAAAAAGAAATTATAAAACTCGCCTGGGTTGCTTTTTGAATTCGTTGTATTTGCCAGTGTTAGTTGTATGAGTTTGATTAAAATCCTCAGCCATCGTTTCGGAATACCTAGCTTATGTGTCCAGTATTTTATTAAAAAATTATTAACATAACACTTATATATCAAAGGTAAAAGGTCTGGGGAGTTGTAGGTGAGGCGGAATGAGGGAAAAAATATTTTTAAGTAAATGCAGGGTCTGATTAGCTACGTGGTTAGATTTTATCCTGCAGCCGAAACTGTCAACATCCTTGACTGACTAATCGGATGTGCCCAGCGAACCGTTTTAGTCATTTGTAAAGATTTATCATCTTTACATTTCGATTCCGTAATGGATTTGTCAGTTAAACGATCTAACAACACGTATGGTGGTTCATGATCTAGATAAGCCGGCTTTAGCCTATCAATACTTACTGTGTCGATGTTTCCATGTTTTTCTATCACGAAATATTTAGATTTTCTTGAGACGACTTTGAAAGGACCTTCAAATGGAGGACTGAGTGGTGCTTTTATTTTGTCACATCTTATCCAGACGTGCGTGCAATTGCTTAGGTCTTTAGGTATATATACGGCGCGCGATTGTTCACGAGTATTAATCGGCTTAATTTTAGACATGTGGTCCCGTAGTTGATCTACATAATTTTCTAAATTAAGTTTTTGACTGTTAGTATTAGGGTTAATAAATTCACCTGGTAGTCTCAGAGTTGTTCCGAAAACCAGTTCCGCAGCTGAACACTGTGCGTCAGTTTTGACAGATGTTCGTATTCCCAACATAACTAACGGTAGGAATTCTGTCCACTGATTGGGGTTTGAGTGAGATATAAGGGCGGTTTTTAGCTGACGGTGAAAACGTTCTACCATCCCATTAGCCTGAGGATGATATGCAGTGCAGCGTATCCTATTGGAGCCTAGAAGTTTAGCCAAGTTATTAAATAGTTCGGATTCGAATTGCGCTCCTCTATCCGTCGTTATTGTTATGGGTGTACCAAAAATGGTTACCCAGTTCTGCATGAAAACTTTGGCTACTGTTTCCGCTGTGATGTCCGCTATCGGGATGGCTATAGGGAATCTGGTAAATCGATC